TTTGGTCGACAGAGGTATGAGTCTTGAGTTACTTGTATCTTCTTAAGGTTTCATTTGACCATAGTCGATGTTAGTTCATGGTTGTTGTTGTTCATTCGTTCAGTCGTCTCCGACTCTTCGTGACCTCATGGACCAGCCCACGCCAGAGCTCCCTGTCGGCCGTTACCACCCTCAGCTCCCTCAAGGTCAGTCCAGTCACTTCAAGGATGCCATCCATCCATCTTGCCCTTGGTCGGCCCCTCTTCCTTTTTCCTTCCACTTTCCCCAGCATAATTGTCTTCTTTGGCTTTCTGTCTCCTCATGATGTGGCCAAAGTACTTCAACTTTGTCTCTAGTATCCTTCCCTCCATGAGCAGTCGGGCTTTATTTCCTGGAGGATGGACTGGTTGGATCTTCTCGCAGTCCAAGGCACTCTCAGCACTTTCCTCCAACACCACAGCTCAAAAGCATCAATCTTCCTTCGCTCAGCCTTCCCTAAGGTCCAGCTCTCACATCCGTAGGTTACTACAGGGAATACCATGGCTTTGACTAGGCGGATCTTTGTTGCCAGTCTGATGTCTCTACTCTTTACTATTTTATCGAGATTGGACATTGCTCTCCTCCCAAGAAGTAAGCGTCTTCTGATTTCCTGGCCACAGTCTGCATCTGCAGTAATATTTGCACCTAGAAATACAGTCTGTCACGGCCTCCACGTTTTCTCCCTCTATTTTCCAGTTGTCAATCATTCTTGTTGCCATAATCTTGGTTTTTTTGACGTTTAGCTGCAACCCGGCTTTTGCGCTTTCTTCTTTCACCTTGATTAGAAGGCTCCTCAGCTCCTCCTCGCTTTCGGCCATCAGAGTGGTGTCATCTGCATATCTGAGGTTGTTAATGTTTCTTCCAGCAATTTTCACCCCAGCCTTGCATTCATCAAGCCCTGCACATCCTCGCATGATGTGTTCTGCATACAAGTTAAAAAGGTTGGGTGAGAGGATGCAGCCTTGCCGTACGCCTTTCCCAATCTTGAACCAGTCTGTTGTTCCGTGGTCAGTTCTGACTGTTGTGCTACTTGGTCCTTGTACAGATTCCTCAGGAGAGAGAAAAGGTGGCTTGGTATGCCCATCCCACCAAGAACTTGCCACAATTTATTATGATCCACACAGTCAAAGGCTTTAGAATAGTCAATGAAGCAGAAATAGATGTTTTTCTGAAACTCCCTGCCTTTCTCCATTATCCAGTGGATGCTTTTCTGAAACTCCCTGCCTTTCTCCATTATCCAGCGGATATTGGCAATCTGGTCTCTCGTTCCTCTGCCTTTTCTAAACCCAGCTTGAACATCTGGCAACTCTTGCTCCATGTATTGCTGGAGTCTTCCTTGCAGGATCTTGAGCATTACCTTACTGGCATGAGAAATAAGGGCCACTGTACGGAAGTTTGAGCAGTCTTTCGCATTTCCCTTTTTTGGTTCATGGTAGCAAATGTTAAATATTAAGTTTAATTTTCCCTCTTAGGTACTCTTTAAGTTGGTTCCAATTTACTGGCTTCTCACTATTCTGTTCTCTTAGTAAATAAGAAAGCCTATCCATGTCCATATATTCTCATATTTTCTTAATCCATTCCTCGTTGGAAGGGATTTCTTTCGTTTTCCATTTTTGAGCAATTAATATTCTTGCGGCAGCGGACAGATAAACATTTTTTTTCATCATGTCTTTAAATCACAATTTGTTATATTCAGCAAGTAATATTCAGGCTTCATGTCGAATTTTGTTTTAATTATGTTTTGTGTATGTTTATGGACCAGAGTCCAGAATTTTTGGATTTCCTTACAAATCCAAAATAAATGATAGTAAGTTCCTGATTCTTTCCTACATTTCCAACATAAGCTATCAAGCTTTTCATTAAATTTGAAAAGTTGGACAGGTGTCAAATGCCATCGATGGAACACTTTAAACCTGTTCTCTATTATGTTCATGGCTTTTGTAAACTTTAATTTAACCTTCCAGACATGCTCCCACTCTTTTAGAAGTATAGAATGACCTATATCCTTTGCCCACTTAATCATATTTTCCTTTATTTGGTCTTTCTCATTGCTCCATTCTAATAAATTTTGGTATATTACTTTGATCAGCTTTTTTTCCCTTTTTCATTACAATTTCCCAGCAAGTATCTTTTTCATTGAAGCCTACTTCAAGATCTTCCTTAAAGCATTCTTTAAGCTGTAGGAAGTGGAACCAGCCTATTTCTTAATAAGAAATAAGAAGAAAAATGGCGACGATTTTTATGCTTATATTTTGTTTTGTTAATCTTACGGTTATTTGTTTGTTTGTTTGTTTATTTATTTATTTAAAAGTTTTGTATACCGACCTTCTCACCTCTTTTGAGGGACTCAGACCGGTTTCCAACCATAAAATCACATTCAGTCAGTAAAACAACATAATTCATATTACAATAACACATTAAAACAGCAAATATATTCAATACCTACAATGGTCAGTCGTCATACTAAAATCGATTGTACATCATCTTCCATCCATATCTCAGGGTGTTGGCTCACTCATTGAATGCCTGTCTCCATAACCACGTCTTCACCTGTTTCCTGAATGTCAGGATAGAAGGAGCGGTTCTGATCTCCAGTGGGAGAGAGTTCCAGAGTCACGGGGCCACCACCGAGAAGGCCCTGTCCCTCGTCCCCACCAGACGCGCTTGGAAGGCCGGTGGGACCGAGAGCAGGGCCTCTCCAGACAATCTTAATAATCTTGATGGTTCATAGAGGAGAATACATTCGGAGAGGTAAACAGGGCCGGAGTCGTTTAGGGCTTTATAGGTTAACACCAGCACTTTGAATTGTGCTCGGAAGCTAATTGGCAGCCAGTGGAGCTGGTGTAACAGCAGAGTGGTGCGCTCCCTGTACCCAGCACCCGTTAGGAGTCTGGCTGGCGATCGTTGGACTAGCTGTAGCTTCCGGGCAGTCTTCGGAGGCAACCCCACGTAGAGAGCATTGCAGTAATCTAAACGGGATGTAACCAAAGCGTGGACCACCGTGGCCAAGTTAGACTTCCCAAGGTACGGGCGCAGCTGGTGCACAAGTTTTAATTGTGCAAAAGCTCCCCTGACCACCGCCGAGACCTGGGGTTCCAGGCTCAGCGATGAGTCTAGGAGAACTCCCAGACTGTGAACCTGTGCCTTCAAGGGGAGTGTGACCCCGTCCAGCACAAGCTGTAACCTTATGCCCTGTTCGGCCTTACGACTGACCAGGAGTACCTCTGTCTTGTCTGGATTTAGTTTCAATCTGTTGTCCCTCATCCAGTCCGTTACAGCGGCCAAGCACCGGTTCAGGACTTGGACAGCCTCCTTAGTAGCAGGTGGAAAGGAGTGACAGAGTTGGACATCATCTGCGTACAAATGACACCGTACCCCGTTGTTTTTACTTTGTATGTTTTGTGATGTTACCTTTGAGTCCCCTCGGGGAGATGGAGCGGTATATAAATAAATAAATTATTATTATTATTATTATTATTATTATTATTATTATTATTATCTTGACATTTTGGGCCAATGGTTATGCGGCGCTTTTCCAAAATGGCGACCTCCACTTGCTGGGTGGTGTGTTCCTCAATAGCAAAGTGGGGTCACCTTGGAATTGGAGCTGTTTGCACCAATGTCCGACCACATTGGAATGGACGATGCCAGTTCTTGACTCCATGCTATGACGGGGAATCCTCACGGTAAACCTCTTTCATCTCATCAAACGTCTCCTTTGGTGTGCGGCCTTTCAAGTCATGAAACTTGAGGACTGCTCCGTATTCTTCTGTTTCCATTCTCAAACCTCACACCACTTCAGCACCTGTCACATCAAGACCATTATCAGTTCAGAGTTGTAAACTGGCATGTCACCTATATTTACAGCTTTTATATTCCGCCCTTCTCACCCCGCAGGGGACTCAGGGCGGATTACAGTGTACACATATATGGTAAACATTCAATGGCAATTTTTGACATACAAACATATACGGACATACACAGAGGCTATTTAACTTTTTCTGGCCGCCAGGGGCGCTGTCACTTTCATCGTCCATCTGCGACGCTGATGAAGCACTTCCGCATTCCCCGCATGCTTCCCCGCTGGAATGCTTTGCTGGAGTCTTCTTTATGGCCTCATAAATCAGTTAATTTAGCCTCCCCACACTTTAAGGTGGTACCTAATTTTCCTACTTGACAGATGCAACTGTCTTTCGGGTTGCAAAGGTCGACAACAGGTTACACACAATTGGTTGGAAACCCACTCCAACCCAGGCTGGCTTCGAACTCATGACCTTTTGGTCAGAGTGATCTTAATGCAGCTGACACTCAGCCAGCTGCGCCACAATCCCGGTGCATATAGAGACGTATATCATTACACATGTGCAGTTTCAGCATCCTGTGATAAATAGAAGTCGGGCAGAGGAAGTATTTAATGAACATGTCACCTCCTATAAGCTCCTTGGTCTTATTGATATTAAGAACCAAATTATTATTGTCTCTGCACCATGAGAGGAGCTGATCCACCGCATCCCGGTTGACAGATTCAGCCCCTTCGGAGATAAGAAGCCCCACCACTGTTGTATCATCTGCAGATTTAATCATGATATTACTATGGCAAACAAGGGTGCAATCATATGTGTAAAGAGGATATCCATGCCACAGCATCTCTGCAGGTCACGTAGCCGATAATGAGTGGCTATTTCTAATGCTGTTCCAAGCCAGGCGCATTGATAGGTGTCACAGTAAACACAAGCTTTTAATGTTGTGAGTATTGGGTCTTAATGTTGATACTTGTGTTGTAAAGTTTTAAAGATTTATACTCTTGGTAAATCTTGCTATAAGTTACGGTCACTCTATCTGTGACCGTAACCATAAAATCCATTCATCCAAGTGAAGGTCGCGGGTGGGGGGGATGTCCAAGAACAATGGACCTGGAAATGAGTGCAACGCAGGCAGGAAGGAAGGAGCCGGGATGGAATCCGGTGGCGTATAAACACTCGGGACACGGCCAATCCCACCAGAGTGCTGACCGGCAAGGGCTGCGATGGATGGCAAGAACCCATACACCATGGCCAAGCTGGGCCTGGATGCCCGAGACCCCCAGGAGAAGACCGAGCGGGACTGCGGCTTCTACGCCAAGTACTTCTTTCTCTTCCTCTCGCTGATCCAGTTCCTCATCATCCTGGGCCTGGTACTCTTCATGGTCTATGGCAGCCCCCAGGCCGGCAACGAGAAGCAGATCCAGGGCCTGAGCAGCCTGCTCCAACGGGCAGAGAGCAAGGCCGAGGCCCTGGGCAAGGAAGTGGCCGACCTCAAGCGCCGGCTCAACGCCAGTCAGACCGAGACCGCTCAGATCCGGAAACTGGCTACTGGGTTCAACATCACCCTCCGGAGCTGCATCAGTGAGAAGGCAAGTGGCAGGACCCCAGGGTCTGCGGGTGGCTTTCTTTAAGTGGGGTCAGCCTGATGGGAGGGGAAGTATAACAAGGTATATCAATGTCTTATACAGTAGGGAACCGGACAGGGGGAGTGTATCCTTGTTGATTCTCTTAGACCAGCGGTTCGCAACCTTCCTAATGCCGTGACCCCTTGATACAGTTCCTCAGGTTGTGGTGACCCCCAAGCATAACATTATTTTCATTGTTTCTCCATAACTGTCATTTTGCTACTGTTATGAACCGTCATGTAAATATCTGATATGCAGGATGTATTTTCATTCACTGGACCAAATTGGGCACAAATAGCCGATATGTCCAAATTTGAATACTGGTTGGGTTTGTAGGGGTGGGGGAAGCAGGATTGATTTTGTCATTTAGGAGTTGTAGTTGCTGGACTTCCTGAACATTAGGAAGAACTTCCTGACTGTGAGAGCCGTTCAGCAGTGGAACTCTCTGCCCCAGAGTGTGGTGGAGGCTCCTTCTCTGGAAGCTTTTAAGCAGAGGCTGGATGGCCATTTGTCAGGGGTGATTTGAATGCAATATTCCTGCTTCTTGGCAGGGGGTTGGACTGGATGGCCCATGAGGTCTCTTCCAACTCTTTGATTCTATGATTCTATGAATTTATAGTTCACCCACAGAACTCCCGTGACCAACAGAAAATACTGGAAGCATTTGGTGGGCATTGACCTTGAGTTTGGAAGTTGTAATTCACCTACGCTCAGACAGCACTGTGGACTCAAACAATTATGGATCTGGACCAAACTTGGTACAGATACTCAATATGCCCAAATGTGAACACTGGTGGAGTTTGGGGGGAAATAGATCTTGATATCTGGGAGTTGTAGTTGCTAGGATTTATAGTTCACTTACAATCAAAGAGCATTCTGAACCCTACCAACGATAGAATTTGGCCAAACTTCCCACACAGAACCCCCACGACCAACAGGAAATACCGTGTTTTCTGATGGTTTTTTGCGACCCCTCTGACACCCCCATCGCGACTCCCCTTGGTTGAGAAACACTGTCTTAGACCTCTCAGCGGTCTTTGATAGTATGAACCGTGGCGTGGGTGTAGCGTACCTGGATTTCAGTAAGGCCTTCGACAAGGTCCCCCATGACCTTCTGGCAAGGAAACTAGTCCAATGTGGGCTAGGCAAAACTACGGTGAGGTGGATCAGTAATTGGTTAAATGGACGAACCCAGAGGGTGATTCTCCCCAATGCTTCCTCTTCATCCTGGAAAGAAGTGACGAGTGGAGTGCCGCAGGGTACGTCCTGGGCCCGGTCCTGTTCAACATCTTTATTAATGACTTAGATGAAGGGCTAGAAGGCAGGATCATCAAGTTTGCAGACGACACCAAATTGGGAGGGATAGCCAATACTCCAGAGGACAGGAGCAGGATTCAAAACGATCTGAACAAAATAGAGAGATGGGCCAAAACTAACAAAATGAAGTTCAACAGTGACAAATGCAAGATACTCCACTTTGGCAGGAAAAACGAAATGCAAAGATACAGAATGGGGGACAATGCCTGGCTCGAGAGCAGTACGTGTGAAAAAGATCTTGGAGTCCTCGTGGACAACAAGTTAAACATGAGCCAACAATGTGATGTGGCGGCAAAAAAAGCCCATGGGATTTTGGCCTGCATCAATAGGAGCATAGTGTCTAGATCTAGGGAAGTAATGCTACCCCTCTATTCCGCTTTGGTTAGACCACACCTGGAATATTGTGTCCAATTCTGGGCACCACAATTCAAGAGAGATATTGACAAGCTGGAATGTGTCCAGAGGAGGGCGACTAAAATGATCAAGGGTCTGGAGAACAAGCCCTATGAGGAGCGGCTTAAGAGCTGGGCATGTTTAGCCTGAAGAAGAGAAGGCTGAGAGTAGACATGATAGCCATGTATAAATATGTGAGGAAGCCACAGGGAGGAGGGAGCAAGCTTGTTTTCTGCTTCCCTGGAGACTAGGACACGGAACAATGGCTTCAAACTACAAGAAAGGAGATTCCATCTGAACATGAGGAAGAACGTCCTGACTGTGAGAGCCGTTCAGCAGTGGAACTCTCTGCCCCGGAGTGTGGTGGAGGCTCCTTCGTTGGAAGCTTTTAAACAGAGGCTGGATGGCCATCTGTCAGGGGTGATTTGAATGCAATATTCCTGCTTCTTGGCAGGGGGTTGGACTGGATGGCCCATGAGGTCTCTTCCAACTCTTTGATTCTATGATTCTATGAACCATGGTATCCTTCTGAGATGCCTGGCGGGAATGGGTCTTGGAGGTAGCTCCAGTCTATCTTGGAGGGTCGTTCTCAGAAGGTGTTACTGGGGGAAACCTGCTCGGCCCTTGTAGTCATTGTCCTGTAGCGTCCCACAGGGCTCAGCATTGTCCCCCTGTTGTTTAATATCAACATGAAGCCATTGGGAGAAATCATGCGGAGTTTTGGAGTTTGTTGTCATTTGTATGCAGATGATGTCCAACTCTATCAGTCCTTTTCACCCGCATCAAAAGAGGCTGTTCAGGTCCTGAACCAGTGTTTGGCAGCAGTGACAGTCTGGATGAGGGCGAACAAATTGAAATTGAATCCAGACAAGACGCAGGTCCTCCTGGTCAGTCGTAAGGCTGAACAGGGTATAGGTTTACAGCCTGTGCTGGATGGGGTTACACTCTCCCTGAAGACGCAGGTTCGCAGCTTGGGAGTGACCCTGAACTCATCGCTGAGCTTGTGTGTTAGTTCCGCCAGTACCTTGGGAAGCAAGACTTGACCACGGTGGTCCATGCTCTCGTTACATCCAGGTTAGACTACTGCAACATGCTCCTCATGGGGTTGCCTTTGTAGATGGCCGAGAAGCTTCAATTAGTCCAGTGTTTCACAACCTTCCTCATGTCCTGACTGCTTAATACAGTTCATGTTGTGGTGACAACCAACCATAACATTATTTTTGTTGCTACTTCTTAACTGTGATTGTGCTACTGTTATGAATCATAATGTAAACATCTGATATACAGAATGTATTTTCATTCATTGGACCCAATTTGGCACAAATCCCCGATACACCCATATGGGGTTGGTGGAGGATTGATATTGTAATTTGGGAGTTGTAGTTGCTGGGATTTATAGTTCACCTGGAATGGAATTGAACCAAACTTGGCGCACAGAATTTCCGAAACCAACAGAAAATACCAGGAGGGTTTGGTGGGCATTGTCCTTTTGGAGTTGTAGTTCACCTACATCCAGACAGCACTGTGGATTCAAACAATGATTTTCTGTCGTGTCAGGAGCGACTTGAGAAACTGCAAGTCGCTTCTGGTGTGAGAGAATTGGCCATCTGCAAGGACGTTGCCCAGGGAACGCCCGGATGATTTTGATGTTTTTATCATCCTTGTGGGAGGCTTCTCTCATGTCCCCCGCATGAGGAGCTGGAGTTGATAGAGGGAGCTCATCCGCCTCTCCCCGGATTCGAACCTGCGACCTGTTGGTCTTCAGTCCTGCCGGCACAGTGCGCCACCGGGGGCTCCCAAACAATGATAGAGCTGGGCCAAACTTGGCATGAATACTAAATAGGCCCAAATGTGAACACTGGTAGAATTTGGGGAAAATAGACCTTGACATTTGAGAGTTGTAGTTGCTGGGATTTATAGTCCACCTACAATCAAAGAGCCTTCTGAACCCCGCTAATGATAGAATTGGGCCAGACTTCCCACACAGAACCCCCATAACCAACTGATGGTCCTTGGCGCCTCCCCGACACCCCCTTGAGGCCCCCACAGGTTGAGGAATGCTGAATTAGTCCAACAGGCAGGAGCAAGATTTCTAATGGGAGCGCCGTACAGGGAGCATACAACTCCACTGGCTGCCGATTTTCTACCAAGTCCAATTTAAAGTGCTGGTTCTGGTCTTGGCCTCATAAAGCTCTAAACGGTTCAGGTCCAACTTACCTGTCTGAACGTATCTCCTCGTATGAGCCTACTAGAACTTTAAGGTCAATTGGGGAGGCTCTGCTCTCTGTCCCACCCCCTTCACAGGCACGATTGGTGGGGACGAGAGACAGGGCCTTCTCAGTGGTGGCCCCTCGGCTGTGGAAATCCCTCCTCAGTGACATCAGGCAGGCCTCATCCGTTCTAGCCTTGAGAAAAAAAGTTAAAGATGTGGCTGTGCACACAAGCATTCGAAGAATAAGTGACTATAGGCTTCGAGATGGTTTGAATATGGATTATGAACGAGGATCTTCGACAAATGGAAGTATGCACTGTGCTAGTGTTAATCACTAGCAGCAATAAATCACTACCGACCGGAAGGTGGCAAGTTCAAAGCCCAAGCTTACTGTTTCAGTTTGAGCTCCCGACTGTTAATAGCCCAGCTTACTGTTCACCTAAGTAGTTCAAAAACAGCTGAGCTGTGGGAGTAGAAATTCCCAATTGCTTTGGGAGATGGTGATTGGACATTCGGACAATGTGGCCGGTCCAGCGGAGTTGATGGCGTAGGAGCATCGCTTCAGTGCTGGTGGTCTTTGCTTCTTCCAGCACGCTGACATTTGTCCGCCTGTCTTCCCAAGAGATTTGCAGGATTTTTTGGAGGCAACGCTGATGGAATCGTTCCAAGAGTTGAGTGTGATGCCATGTTTCGCAGGCGTATAGCAGGGTTGGGAGGGGAATAGCTTTATAAACAAGCACCTTGGCATCCCTACGGATGTCCTGGTCCTCAAACACTCTCTGCTTCATTTGGGAAAAAGCTACACTTGCAGAGCTCAGGCGGTGGTGTATTTCAGTGTCAATGTTGACTTTTGTGGAGAGGTGGCTGTCAAGGGATGGAAATGGTCAACCTTTTCTCATGTTGCACCATTAAGCTGTATTTCTGGCATTGGAGAGGGATTGGCTGCTGGAAGAGCACTTTGGTTTTCTCAATGTTCAATGACAGGCCGAGCTTCTTGTATACTTCTGCAAGGGGGTTTTGAGTGGCTTGTAGTTCTCTTCCAACTACGATTCACTGAATGGGCTTTTAAACTGCCTGATTGCCTGGAAGGATGGTGAATGCTCGCTCTTTAGATGGGCATCTTTCAGGAGTGCTTTCGTTTTGTACCCTCGAATGGCACAATGGGTCAGACTAGATGACCTTTGGGGAATCGGACTACGTGACCTTTGAGGCATCAGACTTCATGATTTAGGGGGTGGTCAGACTACATGTCCTGGGGGGGTCAGAATAGATGACCTTTGGAGGGTTAGACTAGATGACCTTTGAGGTATCAGAATGCATCACCTTATTATTTATTTACAGTATTTATATTCCGCCCTTCTCACCCCGCAGGGGACTCAGGGCGGATTACAGTGTACACATATATGCCAAACATTCAATGCCAATTTGACATACAACATATACAGTCATACACAGAGGCTATTTAACTTTTTCTGGCCGCCATGGGAGCTGTCGCTTTCATCGTCCATCTGCGACACTGATGAAGTACTTCCGCATTCCCCGCATGCTTTTTTGCTGGAGTGCTTTGCTGGAGTCCTTTTTATGGCCTCCTAAAGTAGTTAATTTAGCCTCCCCACACTTTAAGGTGGTACCTAATTTTCCTACTTGACAGATGCAACTGTCTTTCGGGTTGCAAAGGTCGACAACAGGCTACACAATTGGTTGGAAGCTCACTCCAACCCGGGCTGGCTTCGAACTCATGACCTTTTGGTCAGAGTGATCTTAATGCAGCTGACACTCAGCCAGCTGCGCCACAATCCCAGTTTGACCTTTGGGGGGGTCAAACTAGATGACCTTTGGGGTGTCAGACTGCATGATCTTTGGGGGGTCAAACTAGATTACCTTTGGGGTGTCAGACTGCATTACCTTTGGTGGGGTCAGAAAAGATGGCCTTTGGTGGGAGGGTCAGACTACATGACCTTTGGAGTCAGACTACATTACCTTTGGGGATCACACTAGAAAACCTTTGGGGGGTCAGACTAGATGACCATTGGGGAATCCAATTTTAGGTTCCGATGACCCTTTTTTTTTTTTTTGCTGTTCAATTGAGGGAAAGGTCTAGGCGTGAATCTCTGTCTTGATGTGGCACCAATGGCTCGTCTGTGCTGGGAATGGGTGACAACAGCACTATGCCGCGTTATGCATTTTTGCTCCCGGGTTATATTTCAAGGAATCCTATCAAGGACAGATCCAATCCCTTCCTTGACCACCCTGCAATATTTCATGATAACAATAACAACAACAATAATAATATGTAACACCGTTATTATAAAAGGCACCCCGAAATGCTATTTAGTCCTACCCCCCTGGCCCAAAAGATGCCCACCTCGCCTATGGAGAGTCTGCTGCTTTTGCAAACCTCCCATAATTTGAAATATTGGAAGGGAGAGGATGACCATTCAAGGGCTCCCTTCTAACCGCCTTTCTTCCCTTTTCCTTCAGACAAAACTGGCCGAGCAGCAGAGAAACTCCATGATGTGTATTCACTTGTGGCACGAATGCAACTACAACCTGCACATGATGAACACGACGTGGCCCAGTAAGTCTTGCAAAACTACAACCCCCAGGGTCCCATCCCAGTGATAAACGGGGTGCATTCGATCCTCCGGCACCGAGGCATGCTGGGTCGGATGTCTCTTCTTTGTATTGTTGAAGGCTTTTCACAACCGGAATCCACCAGGGTGTTGTTGCGTGGTTTCCGAGCTGTACAGCCGATGGGTTCGAGCAGCATTTTGTCCTGACCTTTGGCCTGAATCTCAAAAGCCAGCTCTAGAATGTTATGGGGATCCCTGCATGATAAGGAATAGGACTAGATGGCCTTTGGGAACCCTCCTGACTCTAGGATGCTGCATGCTGCAATGGGGTTGGGCTAGATGGCCTTTGAGGTCAGACTCTAGCGTTCGATGGGGATCCCTGCATGACAAGGGGATGGACTAGATGACCTTGGGGACCCTTCTGGCTCTAGGATGCTGCAATGGACTTAGACTGGATAGTCTTCGGAGACTCTCCCGAATCTAGGATGTTGCATGGTACAATGGGGTTGGACTATATGGCCTTTGGGGACCCTTTTGACTCTAGGATTCTGCATGCTACAATGGGGTTGGGCTAGATGGTCTTTGGGAACCCTCCCGACTCTAGGACGCTGCATTCTACAATGGAGTTGGACTAGATGGACTTTGACGTTCAAGTCTAGCACTCTATGGGCATCCCTTCATGACAAGGAGAAGGACTAGATGGCCTTTGGGGACTCTCCCGACTGCAATTTGGCATGGTACAATGGGGTTGGACTAGATGGACTTTGGGGACCCTCCCAATGCTGCAATTCAGCATGGTGCAATGGGGTTGGACTAGATGGCCTTTGGGGGCCCTCCTGACTCTAGGATGCTGCATGCTACAATGGAGTTGGACTAGGTAGACTTTGAGGTTCAACTCTAGCACTCTATGGGCATCCCTTTATGACAAGGAGAAGGACTAGATGGCCTTTGGGGACTCTCCCGACTGCAATTCGGCATGGTACAATGGGGTTGGACTAGATGGCCTTTGGGGCCCCTCCTGACTCTGCAATTCGGCATGGTACATTGGGGTTGCACTAGATGGCCTTTGGAAACCCTCCAACTCTAGGATTCTGCAGGGTACAGTACGGGTGGACTAGATGGCCTTTGAGGTCCCAACTCTAGCACTCTATGGGGATCCCTGCATGACAAGGAATTGGACAAGATGGCCTTTGGGGACCCTCCTGACTCTAGGATGCTGCAATGGGGTTGGACTGGATGGTCTTTGGGAACCTTCCAGACTCTAGGATCCTGCATGGTGCAATGGAATTGGACTAGGTGGGCTCTGAAGTCCCGACTCTAGAGTCGGAAGTGACATCCCTGCTTATCAATGGGTTGGACTAGATGGTCTTTGGGAACCATCCCAACTCTAGGATTCTGCATGGTATAATAGGCTTGAGCTAGATGGCCATTGGGGACCCTCCAGACTCTAGGATTCTGCATGGTACAATGAGGTTGGCCTAGATGGCTTTTGGGTGACCCTCCCAACTCTTGGATGCTACATGTTACAATCAGGCATCCCTCCATGACAAAGACTAGATGGCCTTTGGGGGTCCTCCTGACTCTAGGATGCTGCATAGTGCAATGCAGTTGAACTAAATGGCCTTTGAGGACCCTCTTGACACTTGAGCTCCATCAGGAGCCCTGCATGACAAGGGGTTGGACTAGATGCCCTTTGGGAACCCTCCCAATTCTAGGATTCTGCATGGTACAATAAGGTTGGGCTAAATAACCTTTGAGGTCCAACTCTAGCACTCTATGGGCATCTCTGCATAGCAAGGGTTTGGATTAGATGCCCTTTGGGAACCCTCCAGACTCTAGGATCCTGCATGGTGCAGTGAAGTTGGGCTAGATGACCTTTGAGGTCCCAATTCTAGTGCTCTGTGAGGATCCCGGCATAATGAGGGATTGGACTAGATGGCCTTTTGGATCCCTTCAAACTCTAGGATTATATTGGGATCCCTGCAAGACAAGCAGTAGGACAAGATGGCCTTTGGGGGCCTTCCCAACTAGGATATCCATGGGGTTCTTTATGTCACAAGGGATAGGATGAGATGTCATCTGCGGGCAAAATATCAGGAACCAAGTGCAGCTTGGGCTGTACAGCAAGGAAACTATGCAACACCCGAGTCTCTCTTGTGTTTCTGCAGCCAAAGTGGCCTTGCTGGAGGACCAGCTGAAGGTGCTGCAGCTCCAGGCCCAACTGGATCGGAAAAGCGCCGCCACGGAGCGCCATCGCCTGCAGGCCATGGTCGACAAGGCTGAGAAGGATGCCAAGGACTGCCTGGTGGAGAAGCTGAAGGTCCAGACCCGGGAGGAGAAGTACCGGGAGCTGGAGTCCAAAGTGATGGTCGAGCTGCGGCCGGTCCAGCAGAGCCTGGAGGAGGCTGTGCGCCGGTTCTTGGTCCCGGAACACTTACGGAACTCCTACCAGCGGGTGGACATCTGCCAGGACCTGTCCAGCAGCCTCCAGAGCCAGATAGCCACCTTGGCCAGGCAGGTGGATCAGAAGGTGGCCGAGGTGGTGGCCCAGAACGGGCGGCTGGAGAGCCAGAAGGAGGCCTGCGGGCATGAGCTCCAGGACAAGGAGCGCCAGGCGGCAGCTCAGCGCCAGCAAGCCGAGCAGGAAAAGCAAGCCCTACACGAGGCCCATGCTCAGGCTGCCCTGAAGGCCGAGGCTGAGCGCAGCCGGCTGGCCAAGGAGAAGGAGGAGCTCCAAGCGCAGCTGGACTACAGCAAGCAGGCCTGCCTGCGCTCCAGGGTGAGCCATCTTCAACCCTGGCTCTCTATGGGGATCCCTGCATGACTAGATAGCCTTTGGGGGCCCTCCCAACTCTGCATACTGCAATCGGGTTGTCCTAGATGACTTTTGGGGACCCCTTCCAACTCTAGGATGCTGAGTGGTACAATGGGGTTTGGATTAGATGGCCTTTGGGGACCTTTCCGACTCTAGGATGCTGCATGCTACAATCAGGTTGGCCTAGATAGCTTTTGGGTGACCCTTCCCACTCTAGGATGCTGCATGGTCTAATGGGATTGGTCTAGGCGGCCTTTGGGAACTCTTCCAAACTAGGATTTTATGGGGATCCCTGTATGACAAGGGGTTGGACTAGATGGCCCTTGGGGACCCTTCTGACTCTAGGATGCTGCAATAGGGTTGGAATAGATGGGCTTTGGGGACCCTTCCAAACTAGGATTTGATGGGAATCCCTGTATGACAAAGGGTTGGACTAGATGGACTTTGAGGGACCCTTCTGACTCTAGGATGCTGCATGCTGCAATCGGGTTAGCCTAGATGGCTTTTGGGTGACCCCTCCAACTCTAGGATGCTGTATGGTACAATGGTGTTGGACTAGATGGCCTTTGGGGACCCTTCTGAACTAGGATTTTGTCAAAATCCCTAGATAAGGGATTGGCCTAGATGCCCTTTGGGTGACCCTTCCAACTCTAGGATACCGCATGGTACAATGGTTTTGGATTAGAGGGCCTTTGGGGATACTTTTGCCTCTAGGATGCTGCATGGTACAGTCGGGCTGGACTAGATGGCCTTTGGAGCCCTTCCGACTCTAGGATGCTGTAATGGCGTTGGACTAGATGGCCTTTGGGGACCCTTCTGAACTAGGATTTCATGGGGATCCCTGGATGACAAGGGGTTGGACTAGATGACCTTTGAGGGGGGACCCTTCTGACTCTAGGATGCTGCATGATGCAATAGGGTTGGACTAGATGGCCATTGGGGACCCTTCTGACACTAGGATGTTGCAATGGAGTTGAACTAGATGGCTTTGGGGACCCTTCAGACACTAGGATGTTGCGATGGGGTTGGACCAGATGGCCTTGGGGACCCTTGCAAAAAAATAGCGTAATGGCCATTCATACAGAACGTCTTGTTACTGTCAGGTGATAAACTTATTTTCCTTGGAAGTGCATAATCTAGAAAGATGGCCTTTGGGGACCTTTCCAACACTAGGTTTCTGAATGGGGTTGGACTAGATGGCCTTTATTTATTTATTTACAGTATTTATATACCACCTTTCTCACCCATGCGGGGACTCAAAGCAGAAAGAACCCTTTTGGGGATCTTTCCGAACTAGAATACTGTGTGGATCCCTGCATGATAAAGGGTAGGACTAGATGACCTTTGGGGACCCTTCTGAACTAGGATTCTATGTGAATCCCTGTATGACAATGCACAGGACTAGACTGCTTTTGAGGACCCTTCTGACACTAGGATGTTGCAATGGGGTTGGACCAGATTACCATTGGGGACCCTTCCGACTCTAGGGTGATGCAATGGGGTTGGGCTAGGTGGCCTTTGGGGACCCTTCCAAACTAGGATTTTATGGGGATCCCTGCATAACAAGGGATAGATGGGCTTTGGGGTTCCTTCTTTGCATGATAAGGAATAGACTTGATAGCTTTTTGTACCCCTTCCAATTCTAGAATTCTGTGGGGTCCCCTGCTTGACAAGGGGTAGGGCTAGATGCCCTTTGGGGTCCCCTTCCGCCTCATTTTTGCCTCTTTCTTTTTGCAGCTCTCCCCGATGAACCCAGGCCTTGGTCCTGGGAGGTTTCCTTCCTCTGCCGGCAGCACCAACCCCTTTGCCAGCTTCCCAGGGGGCTCCCCTCCAAACCTCAACCCAGGGGGTGCCCCTATGGTCCCCAACACCTTTGGCAACCTGCCTCCTTGGGCACGGCCTGGACAGCCCGCTTCTGGGTCCCAGGGATCACCCAACCTTCCTGGTGAGTGATGTGGCAACAATGGGGGGTTCCTTCCTTTCCCCTAAAAAAGAACCTAGAATTGCACTGGGTGCCTAAAGGGGACATTTCCGACCTTTCCTTGTCCACCAATGTGGCTTGTCTTCTGCGTTTCAGAGCGGCCGAGGCTCACGGAACCCAAGATGTTGTCCCCAGAAGCTGCGGCCAGGATCCCCAACCAGCCCCCTATTGGCCACCCCAGGTAAGATTCCAGACCCCTCCCTTTGGGACCCCACTAGATCCCCTTTGCAGCCCCTCTCCAGAATCTTCTCACATTCTATGCATTGATATGGCTTCCCCCCTGTGTGGGTCCTTTGATGGGAACGCAGATTTGCACTGTCTGAAGCTCTTTCCACATTCCGCGTAATGGTGTGGCTTCTCCCCTGTGTGGGTCATTTGATAGGAATGCGGCTATTGTAGAAAAGTTGTACTGGTCAATGTTCAGGATGGAGACGGGTCAGTCTTAGGAAAGGATATAACAATTTTTTATATATTATAACAATAATTTGAGAACTTCATCGGCTAGGTTTTCACATATGGAGATCGGTCAGTTTTAAGAAAGGATATAATAATATAATAGTAGTCGTAATAATAGCAATAAAAACAGTATTATAATAGCGATATATTAATAATAATACCAATAGTAGTAGTAATAATAATGATAATTGAAAGCTTCATTGGCTGGGTTTTCATATAAAAAGAGTGGTCAGTCTTAGGAAAGGATATATAAACAATATAATAATAATAATAATAATAATAATAATAATAATAATAATAATAATAATAGAGAGCTTCATTGGCTGGATTTTCATATTTGGAGACTGCTCAGTCTTAGGAAATGATTGATATATATATATATCAATCATTTCCTAAGACTGAGCAGTCTCCAAATATGAAAATTTTAGGAATTTTAGGAAATGATTGATATATATATATATATATATATATATATTTTGTCGTGTCAGGAGTGTCCTGTTGTGAGAGAATTGGCTGTCTGCAAGGACGTTGCCCAGGGGATGCCCGGATGATTTTTGATGTTTTATCATCCTTGTGGGAGGCTTCTCTCATGTCCCCGCATGAGGAGCTGGAGCTGATAGAGGGAGCTCATCCGCCTCTCCCCGGATTTGAACCTGCGACCTGTCGGTCTTCAGTCCTGCCAGCACAGGGCTTTAACCCACTGCGCCAACAGGGGCTCCATAACAATAATATAATATAGTAATAATACTATAATATTATTATTATCATATTAAGAATAATAGCAATAGTAATAATATAATAATGAAAATAGTAGTAGTAACAATAATAACAATAATTTGAGAACTTCATCGGCTAGGTTTTCACATATGGAGATCGGTCAGTTTTAGGAAAGGATATAATAATATAATAGTAGTCGTAATAATAGCAATAAAAACAGTATTATAATAGCGATATATTAATAATAATACCAATAGTAGTAGTAGTAGTAATAATGATAATTGAAAGCTTCATTGGCTGGGTTTTCATATAAAGAGAGTGGTCAGTCTTAGGAAAGGATATATAAACAATATAATAATAATAATTATAATAATAACAGAAGAGCTTCATTGGCTGGGCTTTCATATTTGGAGACTGGTCAGTCTTAGGAAAGGATATATAAACAATATAATAATAATAATAATAATAATAGAGAGCTTCATTGGCTGGATTTTCATATTTGGAGACTGCTCAGTCTTAGGAAATGATATATAAACAATATAATATAAACAATATAAACAATATAATAATAATAATAGAGAGCTTCATTGGCTGGGTTTTCATATTTGGAGACTGGTCAGTCTTAGGAAAGGATATATAAACAATATAATAATAATAATATTAATAATAATAATAATAATAATAATAATAACAGAAAGCTTCATTGGCTGGGTTTTCATATATGGAGACTGGTCAGTCTTAGGAAAGGATATATAAACAATATAATAATAATAGTAATAATAATAATAATAATAGAGAGCTTCATTGGCTGGGTTTTCATATTTGGAGACTGGTCAGTCTTAGGAAAGGATATATAAACAATATAATAATAATAATAATAATAATAATAATAATAATAACAGAAAGCTTCATTGGCTGGGTTTTCATATATGGAGACTGGTCAGTCTTAGGAAAGGATATATAAACAATATAATAATAATAGTAATAATAATAATAATAATAATAATAATAATAATAGAGAGCTTCATTGGCTGGGTTTTCATATTTGGAGACTGGTCAGTCTTAGGAAAGGATATATAAACAATATAATAATAATAATAATAATAATAATAATAATAATAGAGAGCTTCATTGGCTGGGCTTTCATATATGGAGACTGGTCAGTCTTAGGAAAGGATATATAAACAATATAATAATAATAATAATAATAATAATAATAATAATAACAGAAAGCTTCATTGGCTGGGTTTTCATATATGGAGACTGGTCAGTCTTAGGAAAGGATATATAAACAATATAATAATAATAATAATAATAATAATAATAATAATAATAATAATAATAACAACAACAGAGAGCTTCATTGGCTGGGCTTTCATATTTGGAGACTGCTCAGTCTTAGGAAAGGATATATAAACAATATAATAATAATAATAATAATAATAATGGGATACATGGCACTGATTCTCTTTCTGAACTTTTTCTTTTCCTATACCAGCGGCTAATTGCGCCAGCAACTTGGCAACAGGACTGCTTCAGGAGGGCCCTGCACTAGAAATCCCACCTATCCCAAGGCCCTCGAAGGGACAACGGAAGCGCCAAGACTGCCTGTGACACATCTGCCTCCCTCTGTCGCTAAAGGAAGCCCTCCAGAGGTCATCTAGTCCAGCCCCTTCTCTCCCGCAATCCTTGCAAAAGCCAAAGAGGCCTGCCTTTCCTTTGTTTTCAAATAGGCATGGCATATTCATATGTATATATATTTCTAAATAGGTATTCTGCACATGTTTAGATACATATACTTTTATATATTTATATGTATGTGAGGATTTGTTGGGATCAAACAGAACCTCCAGGGTCCAAAGGTTGCTGATCCCAAATAGAGAAATAACGATAATAAAGGCTTGCCATGTAATTGTGTATAATAAGTTCATGCAAGTTTGGGTTCTAGGGGTGATGTTAAGGGGACCCCAAAACACCGGTGTTTTTTCCAGTTTGTGAGTCGGGAATGTGAAATGTGGAATAAAGGTGGCATGAAAACCCAGCCAATTAAACTCTCATTATTATTATATTATTATTACTATTATTATTCATATATTAGTATATTATTATTACAATTATGTTACATTATTGCTATTATAGTATTGCTGTTATTATTGCTAATATTACTATTATTATTCACATATTATAATATTATTACAATTGCTATTGCTATTATAGTATTGCTGTTATTATTGCTAATATTACTATTCTTGCTATGTTATTGCTATTATTATTACTATTACTATTATGTTATATTATTACTATTATTATATTATATTATTATTATTATTGCTGTTATATTGTTGCTATTACTATTATTATTATATTATTACTATGATTACTATGTTATATTATTGCTATTATTATTAGTATTATTATTGCTGTCATTTATTTATTTCCAGGACTCAGGGCGGACCACAGAACATACACATACAGCAAACATTCAATGCCATTTATACACTGACAAGACAAACAATTGTAACATAGATAGAAGTATATATAGGTGTTTCCCATCTTCGGCATCTTTGGAGACTTGTGCTTGGTTCTGTCGCTCCACTTTCTCTGCCAAAGAGCTTTTTGTTCATAAACTTTCCTCCTTGATTGAATCACTGACATTTCCTTATGGGTGCGTAAATACCTCCCCATTCACATTTTGCTTCCGGTCTTCTAGGTAGGCAGAAGCTGGGCCAAAGACCAGGAGCTCACCCCAACCCAGGCTTCAAACTGTCAACCTTCAATTGACAAGATTTACTGCAGCTGGTGTTTAACCTGCTGTGCTAAAGCCCAGCTCTATTATGTTATAATATTACTATTGTTATTGCAATTATTATGTTATAATATGCTATTATTATTGTTACATTATCGCTATTATTTTAGTACAAATATTATTACAATTATTAATACGAATATTATATCATTGCTATTATTATTACAATTATTTACATTCTATTATTACAATGATGATGTAATATTATTGCTATTATATTAGTATATTATTACAATTATTAATACTAATATTATATCATTGCTATTATTATTACTACAATTTTTACATTATATTATAATTATTACAATTATTAATACTAATATATCATTGCTATTACTATTACAATTTTTACATTATATTATTATAATTATTATTGTAATTATTAATACTAATATTATACCATTGCTATTATCATTACTACAATTTTTACATTATATTATTACAATTATGATGATGTAATATTATTCCTATTATATTAGTATATTATTACAACTATTAATACTAATATTATACCATTGCTATTACTATTACTACAATTTTTACATTATATCATTATAATTATTATTGCAATTATTAATAGAATCATAGAATCAAAGAGTTGGAAGAGACCGCATGGGCCATCCAGTCCAACCCCCTGCCAAGAAGCAGGAATATTGCATTCAAATCACCCCTGACAGATGGCCATCCAGCCTCTGTTTAAAAGCTTCCAAAGAAAGAGCCTCCACCACACTCCGGGGCAGAGAGTTCCACTGCTGAACGGCTCTCACAGTCAGGAAGTTTTTCCTCATGTTCAGATGGAATCTCCTTTCTAATACTAATATTATACCATTGCTATTATCATTACTACAATTTTTACATTCTATTATTACAATTATTACGTTGTAACATTATTGCTATTACTTTATTATGAATATTAGTATCATTAATACTAATATATCATTGCTATTATCATTACTACAATTTTTACATTCTATTATTACAATTATGATGATGTAACATTATTGCTATTATTTCATTATGAATATTAGTATAATTAATACTAATATATCATTTCTATTATCATTACTACAATTTTTACATTCTATTATTACAATTATTATGATGTAACATTATTGCTATTAATTTATTATGAATATTAGTATAATTAATACTAATATATCATTGCTATTATAATTATTTACATTGTATTATTACAATTACTATTTTGTAACATTATTGCTATTATTTTATTATGAATATTAGTATCATTAATACTAATATATCATTGCTATTATAATTATTTACATTCTATTATTACAATTATTATGATGTAACATTATTGCTATTATTATGAATATTAGTATCATTAATACTAATATATCATTGCTATTATTACAATTATTGACATTACATTGTTACAATTATGACGGAATTTTATTATTATATTATTATGAATATTATCATAATTATTAATATGGTATCATTGCTATTATTACTACTACTATCATTATATTTTATTGCTATTATTATTGCTAATAATAATAGCAATAATTTTGGGGGCAAGGCAGAAAAGAACATTCTCCCTAGATTACTTGCAAGAAAAAGGGGCAACGCAATGGGTCTTTTCTAGGTGCCCCATATACATATACATATACATATATATGGGTCGACTGGACCGAGCAGGAAGGCTTCATCCTGTCAAAGCCAAGCAGGAAAAGGCCTTTCTGATCTCTATTGTTCTCTGGATTTTCCCATCAGATAAAGGATGCAGCCCCCCTTTCTCCGTTCAAAACTTTATGGCACGGATTCCCGGGACTTCTTTCCTCTGTTCCCTGCACGGACTACACAAGACGCTTGTCAAATATGATAATTTATAACCTTCGGGAAAAGACGTCGGCGCCCTGCTTGGGGAACACAATTTTCCTGTTTGTCGAAAATTAACCAAACAATTGCACAGAGGCGCCTGGAACGATTGGCCGCGAGTCAATATTTCAGCAATTTAGTGTGCATGGAGGTGGGCCACACTCTCTCAAGAAAATGCCACAACTGAGGTTGCCAGTGGCTCTTGAAAGTGTGTAAACAAAGCCCTTCCCGCTCCAGAAACGGGAAGTTCGTCGGGGGAAGCCAACACACCTCCGGGTGATGGATTGCTTTGACATCTCGAGCCGACAATGACACCGCAAAGGTGGAAAAGGCTTTCCTTGGAAAGATAATTGGGGATTGACGCGCAGAAACCTGGCCATCTATCAGGAGGGCTTAGATGGCGTCTTCCTGCATAGTGGAATGAAGCCGGACTGGATGGCCATCTGTTGGGAAGGCTTGGTATTTTCCTGCATACTAGAATGAAGCTGGACTGTATGGCCATCTATCAGGAAGGCTTGTCATCTTCCTGCATACTAGACTGAAGCTGGATGGGATGGCCATCTTTCGGGAGGGCTTGGATGGTGTCTTCCTGCATAGCAGAATGAAGCCAGACTGGATGGTCATCTGTCAAGAGGGCTTGAATGGTGTCTCCCTGCGTACTAGAATGAAGCTGGATTGGATGGCCATCTATCGGGAGGGCTTGGAGGGTTTCTTCCTGCATAGAAGAATGAAGCCGGACTGGATGGCCATCTGTTGGGAGGGCTTGTTATCTTCCTGCATACTAGACTGAAGCTGGACTGGATGGCCATCTATCAGGAGGGCTTGTTATCTTCCTGCAGACTAGAATGAAGCTGGCTTGGATGGACATCTGTTGGGAGGGCTTGGATGGTGTCTTCCTGCATAGCAGAATGAAGCCGGACTGGATGGCCATCTGTTGGGAAGGCTTGGTATCTTCCTGCATAATAGAATGAAGCTGGACTGTATGACCATCTATCAGGAAGGCTTGTTATCTTCCTGCATACTAGACTGAAGCTGGATGGGATGGCCATCTTTCGGGAGGGTTTGGATGGTGTCTTCCTGCATAGCAGAATGAAGCCAGACCGGATGGCCATCTGTTGAGAGGGCTTGAATGGTGTCTCCCTGCATACTAGAATGAAGCTGGATTGGATGGCCATCTATCGGGAGGGCTTTGAGGGTGTCTTCCTGCATAGAAGAATGAAGCCGGACTGGATGGCGATCAGTCGGGAGGGCTTGTTATCTTCCTGCATACTAGACTGAAGCTGGATGGGATGGCCATCTTTCGGGAGGGCTTGGATGGTGTCTTCCTGCCAGACTAGATGGCCATTTGTTGAGAGGGCTTGAATGGTGTCTACCTGCATACTAGAATGAAGCTGGATTGGATGGCCATCTATCAGGAGGGCTTGAAGGGTGTCTTCCTGCATAGAAGAATGAAGCCAGACTGGATGGCCATCTGTCGGGAGGGCTTATTATCTTCCTGCATACTAGACTGAAGCTGGATGGGATGGCCATCCTTCGGGAGGACTTGGATGGTGTCTTCCTGCATAGCAGAATGAAGCCAGACTAGATGGCCATTTGTCGAGAGGGCTTGAATGGTGTCTCCCTGCATACTAGAATGAAGCTGGATTGGATGGCCATCTATCGGGAGGCCTTGGAGGGTGTCTTCCTGCATAGAAGAATGAAGTCGGACTGGATGGCCATCTGTCGGGAGGGCTTGTTATCTTCCTGCATACTAGACTGAAGCTGGATGGGATGGCCATCTTTTGGGAGGGCTTGGATGGTGTCTTCCTGCATAGCAGAATGAAGCCAGATTGGATGTCGAGAAGGATTAAATGGTGCCTCCCTGCATAGAAGAATGAAGCCGGACTAGATGGCCATCTGTCGGGAGGGCTTGTTATCTTCCTGCATACTAGACTGAAGCTGGACTGGATGGCCATCTGTCGGGAGGGCTTGTAGGAGCCCCCGGTTGCGCAGTGGGTTAAACTCCTGTGCCGGCAGGACTGAAGACTGACAGATCGCAGGTTCGAATCCAGGGAGAGGCGGATGAGCTCCCTCTATCAGCTCCAGCTCCTAATGCGGGGACATGAGAGAAGCCTCCCACAAGGATGATAAAACATCAAATCATCCTGGGCAACGTCCTTGTAGACGGCCAATTCTCTCACACCAGAAGCGACTTGCAGTTTCTCAGGTCGCTCCTGACACGACAAAAAAAAGAAAAGAAAAAAAAGGAGGGCTTGTTATCTTCCTGCATACTAGAATGACGCTGGATTGGCTAGCCATCTGTTGGGAGGGCTTGGATGGTGTCTTCCTGCATAGCAGAATGAAGCCGGACTGGATGGCCACCTATTGACAGGGCATGTTATCTTCCTGCATACTAGACTGAAGCTGGATTGGATGGCCATCTATCAGGAGGGCTTGGGTGGTGTCTTCCTGAATAGTAGAAGGAAGCTGGACTGGATCTCTTGGAGTCTCTTCCATTCTATAGTCTTAGGGTAACGAAAGCACCTGCCAAGAAAGAGGGTTGGACTAAATGACCTCTAGGGTCCCCTTCCAAGTCTATAATCCTAACTTGTGATCACTTTCCGATGCAAAAGTCCTGGAAGATGAGGGTCAGGATCTCCTCGGAGCCCACTTGCCCCGTCAGTCGCCCCAGTTGCCGTCTGGCCTGCCGGAGCTCCTCCGCTGCCAGGGCCAGGTCCACCGAACGGTAATGTCCGAAGCGGCCCAAAGCGTCCAGGCATTGTGTCAAGCCGAGACGGTGGCGGGCCCGTGTGGGGCTGGGCGACCCCACCTGGGGGTCTCCGCACCTACAGGCGGAAGAAAACATCAGATCAGTACTGAGAGCAATGAACTCTTACCCAGTAGGGGTTGGACTAGGTGGCCTTCAGGGGCCCCAACTCTAATCTGAAATTGGGCTCGGCAAAAGGTCCCGAATATAAGAAAGGCTTTGCTCACAAGTCGGACAGGCGTTCTCCCAGCGTTTGCAGGAAGGGCCCGATCCCGTCTCCGGTTTTGCAGGATAGCAAGCAAGCGGGTAAAGGGCTCATCCCCGCGCAGACTGCCTCCAGCACCGCCTTGGCCTCCCTCGCAAGGAGGTCCGCCTTGTTCAGGACCAGGAGCCACGGCCGGGAGTGGGTCGGGTCATTGGCCGGCAAGATGTCCAGCAGGAGAGCGGTCAATTGCTCCGGCCGTTGGGACACTTCGGCTGCATCCAGGACGGCCAGAACCAGGTCGGCGGTGAGGACCCTGCAGAAAGCAAAAACAAAAGGGGTTGCGGGAGCCTAAAATGGGATTCCCCCAAAGGTCATCTAGTCTGACCCCCACAAAGTCATGTCATCTGACCTCCAAAGGTAATCTAGTTTGACTCCCTACGGTCATCTAGTCTGACCACGTAAGGGTAATGTAGTCTGACCCCCCCAAAGGTCATGTAGTCTGATGCCCCAAAAGGAATCTAGTCCAACCCCGGAAGGTCATCTAGTCTGATGCTGCAAAGGTTATATAGTCTGATCTCCAAAGGTCATCTAGTCTGATGCCCCAAAGGTCATCTAGTCCGACCAACAAAAGGTCATCTAGTCTGACCCCCCAAACGTCATCTAGTCTGACCCCACAAACATCATCTAGTCTGACCCCCCAAACGTCATTTAGTCTGACCACTCAAAGGTAATCTAGTCTAATGCCCCAAAGGTCATTTAGTCTGGCCCCAAAGGTCATCTAGTCTGGCCCCAAAGGTCATCTAGTCTGACTCCCTAAGGTCATGTAGTCTGACCTCCCTAAAATTATCTAGTCAGATCCCCCAAGGTCATGTATTCTGACCACCCAAAGGTTATCTAGTCCAACCCCCAAAAGGTCATCTACTCTAATCCTCCAAGGTCATCTAATCTGACCCCAAAAGGTCATTTAGTCTGACCCCAAAAAGTCATTTAGTGTGACCATCTTTAGATCTAGTCCGATGCCCCAAATGTCAGCTAGTCTGACCTCTCCAAAGGTCATCTAGTCTGACACCAGAAAGGTAGTCTGATCCTCCCCAAAGGTCAACTAGTCTGACTCCCCGAAAGGTCATGTAGTCTGACCCTCCTAAAGTCATGTAGTCTGACACCTCAAAGGTAATCTACTCTGACCCTCCTAAGGTCATGTAGTCTGATGCCCAAAGGTCAAGTAATCAGACCCTTAAGGTCATCTAGACTCACCCCTCCAAAGATCATGTTGTCTGACACCCCAAAGGTCATCTACTCTGACCCATTCTGCCTTGCAGAGATACACAACTAATGCACTCCTGAAGGATACTCATCCAAAGAATGAGAGTTCACCACTCTTCCAGGAAACCAGGCAGTTTGAAAGCTCATCCAATGAATAAAAGCTGGAAGGGATCACCAAGGGTCATCAAGTCTGACCCATTCTGTCATGCAGGGACACACGGCTAAGGGTCTTCTGTGATGGGCCCATCAAACCTCTGTTTTAAGGACTCCCAAGGTCATATAGATGGAAGGGACCCTAAAGGTGTCCAACTCCATGCTGCTAGGCAAGAAGGCACCATCAAAGCCCTCCAGATAGTTGGCCATCCAGGTGCTGCTTATAAACCTCCAGAGACAGAAAGGTAGCATTCAATGAATTCTAGCGATCGAAGAGGGTAATCTTATCCCAAACCTATTCTGCAATGTAGGGGACACAATCAAAGCCCTCCCAAAATATGGCCATCAGGAAAGACACCCATTTCAGCCTAGCTCACCTCTGGCGGGCCCGATCCACTCCTTCCTTCTCCACCGCATCGCCAGTCTCCCGCAGGCCAGCCGTGTCGCTCAGGACAATGGGAATCCCATTGAGGTTCAAGGCGGCCTCCACCACATCCCGAGTGGTTCCCGCCACGGGCGACACGATGGCTGCTGGCTTCTGACCTGAAATGGGGAAGAGGACAATGGATTCAGGACAAAGGGGGCATCTCACAAAATATTGACCCCCTGGACCGAGACCCGGACTTGTCTTTCTTACACAGCTGGTTGAGGAGGCTGCTCTTCCCCGCGTTGGTGGGGCCGGCGATCACCACACGGATCCCATCCCGAAGTCGCTCGCCGCGCCGGCCATCTTGCAAGTGGGCCTCCAGTTCTTGGGCCAACGAGGCCACAGCTTCTTCCACTGCGGAGAAAGAACGGCCATTTTTCACACAGGGCTTTCCAAACTTGACACATATCCTTTCACGACACAGTCATTTGGTTGCAGTAGCCAACCCCATAAGCGAAACCAACCCCTTATAAGAATTTCATGCAGTAGCTATAACATATAATATACATATTATATATACTAGAGGTGTGAAACCCAATTAGTAATTCATTGGGGACATTCGGATGGACCCTGCTTCATTTCGTAAAGATTCGGAAGGGGGTCCCGTTTCGTTTCGTAACTCGAATCTCCAAAACTTCATAATAGTTTAAGACTGGTTCCATTAGCAGCAATGGGGAAATTTCCAGTTATTTTTACAGATATTGGGATGAAATTCGGCACACTTATAAGCAACATTTACAACTTCATGCCTGCCAAGTTTCAGAACATTTTGGACATCCACTGATTTTAAGGATTTTTTTAAAAAAATTTAAAATTAAAGGAGAAGACCAGCTTTGCAGAAAGCCGTGCGATTGGGTGACAAGGAAAAAAAACACACCAGAATAAAGCTGCTGTTGTCAATCACATCAGTCCCCTCTATTCGGGTCATTTCTCCGTCATTTTGATGGCTATCAAGATGAAACTTGGCACACTTATTAACAACCTTTACAACTTTACGCCTGCCAAGTTTCAGAATGTTTCGGTCATCCACTGATTTTTAATAAATTTTAAAAGTTTCTACAAATCAAATGGGACCAGCTTCGCAGAAAGCTGTGTGATTGGCTGACAAGGAAAAAAACAGCATGTCATTGCCCTTGTCAATCCCATCCTAGACAATTAAGGAATATCTTATATTGAAAAAAAACTACAGCTTGAAAAGCTTCAAATCTATACTGATCTCTCCTAAATGTTCCGTTTCGTAATGCTTCAGAGGGGGTCCCGTTCCAATTAGTAATTCAAAGATGTGTATTATCAATTTTTTTACATATCTCTGAATTATGAAACGAACCTCCAAAGCATTACACAGCTCTAATATATACGTTTCATGAAATCTTTACTATATAAACGGTTCATTGCAAACATCATTGTCAGCAGATGGTCTCTTCATAATTAGAACCTTCTTCTTCTTCTTCTTCTTCTTCTTCTTCTTCTTCTTCTTCTTCTTCTTCTTATTATTATTATTATCTCATCCATTTTACTGGGTAACGAAGGCAACTCCCTTTCCATTTTGGGGTGGAAGGAGCACTTGTCATGCTTTAAAGTTCTGCTTTAATGTGGTTCCAGACCAAAACAGGAAACCCTGGAAAGGGTTTGAGATTTGGACAAAGACGCAAACTGGACCGATATGTATTCAGAACTCTCTTTGGCCTATATTTTCAACTAGCTTGGGTACCCAACGTTGCCCGGGTTATTTGAAAAAGTCAAAATTTTACTTGTGCAAAATGCGTACGGTTGTGGGTGAACTACAACTCACTTCATGCCAGTTTAACCCCCCGAAACGCCATCAGTACTTAAAAGTTTGTCATGTTGAGCAAGTTTGCTTAGATGCATCATCAGTGGGGTTCAGTTTGCTCTCTGGCTGTAGGGTAAACTACAACTCCCACTATGGTGAGCCAGTCCCTTCAAAATGCTCCTGTAGGTTTAGGTTGTCATGGGGGTTTTGTGTGCCAAGTTTGGACCAGGTCACTCATCAGTGGAGGTCACAGTTTCTCTGATTGTGGGTGAACTACAACTCACATCATGCCAGATTAACCCCGAGAAACTCCATCAGTACTTAAAGTTGGTTATGTTGGACAAGTTTGCTCTAGGTGCATCATTGTTGGGGTTCAGTGTGCTCTCTGGCTGTAGGGTAAACTACAACTCCCACTATGGTGAGCCAGTCCCTTCAAAACGCTCCTGTAGGTTTAGGTTGTTATGGGGGTTTTGTGTGCCAAGTCTGGACCAGGTCACTCATCAGTGGAGGTCACAGTTTCTCTGATTGTGGGTGAACTACAACTCACATCATGCCAGATTAACCCCGAGAAACTCCATCAGTACTTAAAGTTGGTTATGTTGGACAAGTTTGCTCTAGATGCATCATTGTTGGGGTTCAGTGTGCTCTCTGGCTGTAGGGTAAACTACAATTCCCGCTATGGTGAGTCAGTCTCCTCAAACCGCTCCAGTAGGTTGAGTTAGTCATGGGGCTTCTGTGTGAGAAGTGTGGTCCAGGTTCATCATTGGTGGAGCTCACAGTTTCTCTGGTTGTGGGGGACTACAACTCCCAGAAAGGCAGGTCAATTCCCCCCACCACAAAAAACCCCTCCAGTATTGATGGTCATCTTGGGTCTGTGTGCTAAGTTTGGCCCAGATGCATTGGTGTTTGGGTTCACAGTGCTCTCTGGATGTAGGTGAACTACAATTACTCCAAATCAAGTTGAATTTCCCTCCAAAGACCTTCAGTATTTTGTGCTGGTCATGAGGGCTCTCTGTGCCAAGTTTGGTCCAATTCCATCTTTGGTGAAGTTCAGAGTGCTCATTGATTGCAGGCGAACTATAAATCACAGCTCACAAAATGTCCAGGCCAATTCCCCTCAAAACCCACCAGTATTCAAATTTGGGCATATCAGGTCTGCATGCCAAGTTTGGTCCAGATCCACCATTGTTTGGGTTCATAGTGCTCTCTGGATGTAGCTGAACTACAACTCCTTATAAATCCTTTCAAAAGACCTCAAGTATTTTTTGTTGGTCATGAGAGTTCTGTGTGCCAAGTTAGTTCCAGGTCCATCATTGGTGGAGTTCAGAGTGCTCTTAGATGGCAGGTGAACTATACATCCCATGACCTACAACTCCTATTAATCATGGTGAAGTCTCCCCAAATCTCTCTAGTATGTTCAGTTGCTGATCAATTGCTTTGTTCGCTGTGTGCCATAGGAAAGAATAGGAAAGGGTTATGGGAGAAGCAGTGGGCGGGGTCATGCAAATTCTACACCAATGGAGAGAGTAAGAAACACTGAGATCTCTGTGGTGGAGGTAAAATAGAAAATCTAGGATGAGATTGTCCCCGTATGAAAGCCTTTGCTTGAGTAGTGGACAGTGTAGACTTCCTAGTCCAATTCTGTTTGTTTTCTTGAGAAATACCAAAACCCAAGAGATATTTCCCAGAAGCCATTAAGTGCCTCTTAATTAAGTTGTTTTGGAGAAGCAGGAAAGCACATGCTTCCTCTCCATCACAACAATGGCGAGGAAATGGCGAAACCTAGTTCCACGTCATGCGAGGTCTTCTTTGGGACACATTATTATTATGTTTAGGCACAAGGAGTGTCATTCCAAAGAAACAGATCATCCCAATTGTTGATTAAGTTGAACCCGAGCCAGCCACGTGACGCTGCGGCAACGAAGGCCATTAATATTTCATCCTGCGCTAAGAGCAACAATTCCCAAGACAGCAACACGGTCCCACTCAACATTTGGCAAAGTTGGAGAAGAGGAAGATCGCGTGGCAAGACTCACCTTGGACGAGGACCCCTCCCTCAATGTTGTCGTCTTCGCTGAAGTCAATGTAGGCCTCCAGGTGGGCCAGGGCCTGCGGGACAAAGGGATTCCCCAGTGTACTAGAGTTGGAAGAGAACCCCAAAGGGCATCCAGCCCAACCCCCTTCTGCCAGGAAGGAAGGCACCATCAGATCCTTCCAGACAGATGACCATCTAGATTGTTAAAAAATACAGATCACAGAAGCCTAGTGTTGGAAGAGACCTCAAAGACTAAACAGTTCAACCACCTTCCATCAAGCAGGAAGACACAATCCGTTCCATCCCAACAGATGGCCATCCAACCTATTATTATTATTATTATTATTATTATTATTATTATCATCATCATCATCATCATCATCATCATCATCATCAAAGCTATAGAGTTGAAAGAGACCCCCAAGGGCCATACAGCCCAACCCTCTTCTGCCAGAAAGACATCTGATCCATCTTAACAGATGGCTGTCCAGTATATTATTATTATTATTATTATTATTATTATTATTATTATTATTACCACAGAATCCTAGACTTGGAAGTGACCTCAAGAGCCCATTTAGTCCACCCCTCTGGCTAGAAAAGAAGACAGAATCTGATCCATTCCAACAGATGGTCTCCCAGTCTAATATTATTACTATTATTACTATTAATAGAACCATAGGGTTCTAAAGTTTGAGGCCTCAAGGGTCCATAAAGTTCAACTCCCTCCTGCCAGGAAGGAAGGCACCATCAGATCCTTCCAGACAGATGACCATCCAGATTGTTAAAAAATACAGATCACAGAAGCCTAGTGTTGGAAGAGACCTCAAAGGCTAACTGGTTCAACCACATTCCGTCAAGCAGGAAGACACAATCCGTTCCATCCCAACAGATGGCCATCCAACCTATTATTACTGCTATCATCATCATCATCATCATCATCATCATCATCATCATCATCATCATCAGAGCTATAGAGTTGGAAGAGACCCCCAAGGGCCATACAGCCCAACCCTCTTCTGCCAGGAAGACACAATCTGATCCATCTTAACAGATGGCTGTCCAGATTATTATTATTATTATTATTATTATTATTATCATCATCACCATCATCACAGACTCCTAGACTTGGAGGAGACCTCAAGGACCCATTTAGTCCACCCCTCTGGCTAGAAAAGAAGACAGAATCTGATCCATTCCAACAGACGGTCTCCCAGTCTAATATTATTATTATTATTACTATTAATAGAACCATAGGGTTCTAAAGTTTGAGGCCTCAAGGGTCCATAAAGTTCAACTCCCTTCTGCCAGGAAGGAAGGCACCATCAGATCCTTCCAGACAGATGACCATCCAGATTGTTAAAAAATACAGATCACAGAAGCCTAGTGTTGGAAGAGACCTCAAAGACTAAACAGTTCAACCACCTTCCATCAAGCAGGAAGACACAATCCGTTCCATCCCAACAGATGGCCATCCAACCTATTATTATTATTATTATTATTATTATTATTATCATCATCATCATCATCATCATCATCATCAAAGCTATAGAGTTGGAAGAGACCCCCAAGGGCCATACAGCCCAACCCTCTTCTGCCAGAAAGACACAATCTGATCCATCTTAACAGATGGCTGTCCAGTATAATATTATTATTATTATTATTATTATTATTATTATTATTATTATTACCACAGACTCCTAGACTTGGAAGTGACCTCAAGGACCCATTTAGTCCACCCCTCTGGCTAGAAAAGAAGACAGAATCTGATCCATTCCAACAGATGGTCTCCCAGTCTATTATTACTACTATTATTACTATTAATAGAACCATAGGCTCCTAAAGTTTGAGAAGGCCTCAAGGGTCCATAAAGTTCAACTCCCTCCTGCCAGGAAGGAAGACACCATCTGTACAGAAGTTGATTGTAAATGATATGATTATAAACTGTATTGATTGTAAATGATATTATTATAACTGTATTTGTGTTTGCACTGGTTGCCCTAATGCTGGAGCGGCCTAGCTGTGAGGAGTGTGTTACCATGGAAACGATGCTAATGCTGGAGCGGCCTAGCTGTGAGGAGTGTGTTACCATGGAAACAATGCTGTAGAGAAGTGGGAGGAGCTTAGAGAGGGGAGTTTTGAAAAGCGACAGTTAAAGTCAGTTTAGGTTTATGCTCAGAGGAGTGAAGAGTCATGAAGAGTCAGGGTTGAGGCTCAGAGGAATGAAGAGTTAGGTTTAGGCTCAGGGAAGTGAAGAGTTGAGAGAGAGAGAGAGTGGGAAGTAGAGAAGCAGTGTTTGTGAATAGTCGGAGGTTTCTTCAGTTCGGGAAGGCTGAAGGGGAAACCTTATTAGTTTTATTAGTTAGAGAAGACTAATAGAAGCTCGTTTAGATCACTAGTTAAAAGTGAACTAGAGATCTGAGGTTTGATCACGGAAGGGTCAAACAGGAAGACTATTCACCTCAGGAACCATTGTTTAATAAAGTGCTTCACCACAGCAAAGGTTATTTATAAGTTGTAACATCAGAAGTCTGAACTGTATCGCAACCAAGTTATATGTAACGTTCTCCAAGTATTTTCCAAGTTTATCACCAAACTGCAACCATACGCTTTGTTTCAAAATAAACTTGTTCTCTTTGATTTTAAAACTGCCTCATCTCCATTAATTCTGCGTTTAGTGTGCCCAATCTCCCAAAATTACCTCACATCACCAAATTGGTGGCACCATTAAGGATAATAAATAATAAATCGTAACTTCTCTCTCCTGAGACCTCCCTTACCGAATTTGGAGCCCGAGCTCCTTCGCTAATTAATCTCAACAGATGGCCACCCAGCTTATTATTATTATTATTATTATTATTATTATTATTATTATTATTATTGTTTTTGCTTGTTATTGCTGTGTTGTGGGCTTGGCCTCATGTAAGCCACACTGAGTCCCTTGGGGAGATGGTAGCGGGGTACAAATAAAGTATTATTATTATTATTATTATTATTATTATTACTACTACTATTATTGTTGCTGTTATTATTATTACTATTATGATTAATAACAGAACCATAGAATCCTAGAGTTGGAGGAGACCTTAAGGGCCCATTCAGCCCAACCACCTTCTGTCATGCAGGAAGACACAATGAAAGCTTTCCCAATCAATGGCCACCCAGCCTCTGCTCCCCAACTTCCGCTGGGCTCCAGGCGCCGGGGTCAGCTTGCAAGAAGTCCCAACTAGACTTGCCTTGGTGAGGGTCTGGCTCCAGTGCTGGTAGAGTGCCCCCAGCTCCCCCTCCATCTGGCGCAAGGCCTGCCGCCGCTGCCCTTCGGTCTCGGCATGGATCAGGTCCCCTAAGCCCTCGGCCGCCGTCAGGTCCAGCTTCCCGTTCTGAAAGGCCCGCTTGGTGAACTCGCCAGGCTCTGCAAGGCGCAGGCGAGGAAGCCCACCTAAAGAGAGAAAGAGAAGCTTTTAAACAGAGGCTGGATGGCTATCTGTCAGGGCTGCTTTGATTGTGCTTTTCCTGCATGGGTGGGACTAGATGGCCCATCTGATGTCTCCCAACTCTATTATTCTATGAGAGAGGAAGCTGCAGAACGTCTGGCAACCAACTTGGGATCATAGAATCCTAATCAGAAGGGACCCCAAGGACCATCCAGCCCAGCTCCCTTCTTTCTGCCAGGCAGGACACCATCCAAGCCCTCCCAAAAGATGGCCACCCATCCTTGGCTCAAAAACTTAGAGGAGACTCGCACACTGTCTACTCTTTTCTTCCTCATGTTCTTCCCCTGCCATTTGATTCTATAGCAAAGGTTGGATAGTAGGGGGTTGGACTACATGACCTTTGGGGATCCCTTCCAATTCTAGTGAAATAGATTGCCTTAGAGCTTTCCAAATGCCGCGATCCCTTAATTTTGTGGTGGCTACCAACCATAACATTATTTTTGTTGTTACTTCATAACTGTATTTTGCTACGGTTATTAATCATCATGTAAATATCAGATATGCAGAATGTGTTTTAATTCACTGGACCAAATTTGGCACAAATACCCGATATGCCCAAACGTGGATACTGGTGGGGTTGGGGGGCGTGGTTTGGATTTTTTCATTTGAGAGTTATAGTTGCTGCCAAAGGGGTTCCCTAAGACCATCAGAAAAATGTGTTTTCTGATGGTCTTTGGCGACCCCTCTGAAATCCCCCCTTGCGACCCCCAGGTTGAGAAACGATGGACTAGATGGTCTCCAGGGTACCCCCCCCCCTTTCCAACTTTGTTTGGTAACTGCTTCCAGCATGAAGGAAAAAAAGACCCACCCAAGGCATTCAAGACTCCGCTGACCACTGCCGGACCGCCGTGGACGTGGTATTCGGCCACGTCCTCCCCTGTGAAGCTGCCCGGCCCTGCGAAAAAAATATTAATCAATGAATGAATGGATGAGATGTATATCCTGCTTTTCTCCCAAATGGGACTCAATGAAAGATAGGATGAAAGAGAACCAAAAGGAGAGGGGGAAAGTAAGGAACGATCCATCCCATCGAAACATTGCTTTTAGTAACTGCTAGTGGGATTTTTCATGCTTGTCAGTGGGATTTTTCAATGTCCGCCAATGAGATGTTTCAATATCTAATAATCTTTCAATGTCCAGTATCAATGCCCAACAATTGGACATTTCAGTGTCCAGTAATGGGATGCTATAATGTCTATATAATAATAATTGGGTTATAATAATAATTAAAAAATCTGGCACAAGCCAGTCAAGGCGGTCTCAGTAGTCATCGGCACATTGGGTGCAGTGCCTAAAGACCTTGGCCTGCACTTAAACACAATCGGCACTGACAAAATTACCATCTGTCAGCTGCAGAAGGCCACCTTACTGGGATCTGCACGCATTATTCACTAATACATCACACAGTCCTAGACACTTGGGAAGTGTCTGACGTGTGATCCAATACAACAACCAGCAGAGTGATCTTTTTGCTGTGTACGAATCTTGTTGTGTTTCAAATAATAATAGTAATAATAATAATAATAATAATAATAATAATAATAATAATAATAATAATAAATCACACAGTCCTAGACACTTGGGAAGTGTTTGACTTGTGATTTTTGTGATATGAAATCCAGCATATAGATCTCATTTGCTGTGACATACTGTGTTTTTGTGTCAGTAAAATAATAATAATTGAAGAGAAACAACTGGAAAAGCTGACACGATATGAGGATTTAAAGATCGAACTGCAAAGACTCTGGCACAAGCCAGTCAAGGTGGTCCCAGTGGTGATTGGCACACTGGGTGCAGTGCCTCAAGACCTTGGCCTGCACTTAAACACAATTGGCGCTGACAATATTACCATCTGTCAGCTGCAAAAGGCCACCTTACTGGGATCTGAATGCATTATTATTAGCTGATACATCACACAGTCGATACATCACACAGTCACACAGCTTGGGAAATGTCTGACATGTGATCCAATACAACAGCCAGCAGAATGATCTTGTTTGCTGTGTACTAATCTTGTTGTGTTTCAAATAATAATAATAATAATAATAATAAGGTGTATAATCTGTATATATAATAAAGAAGAGTGTTTGTATGGGAAGGACAGAGGTGCGGAGGGCAGAAGTGTATGTGGCAGCTTTCTGATTGGCTGCCACTGTGGTGCTATTTGCATATGGTCTCTGATTGGCCAGCTTCAACAGGAGCCCCTGGTGAAGAAGAGGGTTCATGACAGAAACGGGGACATGAGAAGGAAATTTGCATATGGTCTCTGATTGGCCAGCCTCAATCCCAAGATTCCGAGATGACAAAGAGAGGAAAGGAAAAGGCCAGAGGGGGCTGGGTCAGAAAATTACTAATACAGACGAAACTTGGCACACAGAGCCCCCATGACCCACTCGACATCCTACTGCAGTTTGGAGGAGGATGAACCATGGATGATGGGACTTGCAGTACCACCACTCACATTCTGAGACCGCTGTTAACCTTATCCAATGACTGATCAGGACCAAACTTCACACATAGACCTCTCATGACCCACTTTACGTCCTGGTGTGGTTTGGCCGGGGATGGACCGTGGGTCATGGGACTTGCAGTACCATTGCTCAATTCTTCAGACCACTGCAACCCTCATCCAATTACCAATAAATACCAAACTTGGCACGTCTCCATGACGCACTCTACATCCAGGTGCAGTTTGAAGGAGGATGCACCATGGATGATGGGACTTGCAATACCTGCACTCCCTTCCTAAGACCATTACAACTGCCAACGATGATGGATCAGGACCACAATTTACACAGAGACCCAGCATGACCCACTCTACATCCTGGTGCGGTTTGGAAGAATTTGTCAATGGATGATGGGACTTGCAGTCACTTCACTCACTTCCTGAGACCACTGAGACCCTCGCCAATGTCTGATCCAGACCAAACTTGGCACACAGAGTCCCCATGATCCACTCTACATCCTGGTGCACTTTCGAGGAGGACAGACCATGGATGATGGGACTTCAAGTACCTCCACTCCCCAAGACTGCTGCAAAACTCATCTAATGACCAATCAAGACCAAAGTTGGCACACAGAGCCCCCATGACCCACTCTACATCCTGCTGCAGTTTTGGAGAAGGGTGGACCATGGATGATGGACCTTCCAGTACCTTCACTCACATTCTGAGACCTCTGCAAACCTCATCCAATGATGGATCAAGACCAAACTTGGCACATAGACCTCTCATGACCCACGTTATGTCCTGGTGTTGTTTGGAAAACTTTGGAGATGGATGATGGGACTTGCAGTACCTTTGCTCACTTCCTGAGACCACTGAGACCCTCGCCAATGACTAATCAAGACTACACTTGGCACATGGAGCTCCAATGACCCACTCTACATCCTGGTGCAGTTTGGAGGAGGACAGACCATGGATGATGGGACTTCAAGTACCTCCACTCCCTTCCGAAGATTGCTGCAACCCTCTTCTAATGACCAATCAAGACCAAACTTGGCACACAGAGCCCCCATGATCCACTCTACATCCTGCTGCAGTTTGAAAGAGGATGGACTTTGGATGATGGGACTTGCAGTACCTTCACTCACTTACTGACACCACTGCCACCCTCATCTAATGACTGATAAAGACCAAACTTGGCACACAGAGCCCCCATGACCACTCTATATCCTGCTGCTGTTTGTAGGAGGATGGCCCATGGATGATGGGACTTCAAGTACCTTCACTCACTTCCTGAAAATAATGCAGCCGTTATCCAAAGACCAATAAAGACCAAACTTGGCATACAGAACCGCCATTACCCACTTTCTCTAATAACCCGGGCAACGCCGGGTCCCCAAGCTAGTATATAATAAAGAAGAGTGTTTGTTTGTATGGGAAGGACAGAGGAAGTGTGGAGGGCGGAAGTGTATGTGGCAGCTTTCTGATTGGCTGCCACTGTGGTGCTATTTGCATATGGTCTCTGATTGGGCAGCTTCAACAGGAGCCCCTGGTGGAGAAGAGGGTTCATGACAGAAACGGGGACATGACAGAAGGAAATTTGCATATGGTCTCTGATTGGCCAGCCTCAAATCCAAGATTCCGAGATGACAGAAAAGGAAAAGGCCAAAAAAGGGCTGGGTCAGAACACTACCAATACAGACCGAAACTGGCACACAGAGCCCCCATCACCCACTCTACAACCTACTGCAGTTTGGAGGACGATGAACCATGGACGATGGGACTTGCAGTACCACCACTCACATTCTGAGACCGCTGTTAACCTCATCCAATGACTAATCAGGACCAAACTTCGCACATAGACCTCTCATGACCCACTTTACGTCCTGGTGTGGTTTGACCGAGAATGGACCATGGATTATGGGACTTGCAGTACCTTTGCTCAATTCTTGAGACCACTGCAACCCTCATCCAATTACCGATAAAGACCAAACTTGGCACACTGAGTCTCCATGACGCACTCTACATCCTGGTGCGGCTTGGAGGACAATGCACCATGGACGATGGGACTTGCAATACCTGCACTCCCTTCCTAAAACCATTATAACTGCCAACAATGATGGATCAGGACCACAATTTAAACAGAGAACCCGCATAACCCACTCTACATCCTGGTGCGGTTTGGAAGAATTTGACAATGGATGATGGGACTTGCAGTCACTTCACTCACTTCCTGAGACCACTGAGACCCTTGCCAATGACTGATCAAGACCAAACTTGGCACACAGAGTCCCCATGACCCACTCTACATCCTGGTGTACTTTCGAGGAGGACAGACCATGGATGATAGGACTTCAAGTACCTCCACTCCCTTCCCAAGACTGCTGCAACCCTCATTAATGTCCGAACTCAACCAAACTTGGCACAAAGAGCCACCATGACCTACTCTACATCCTACTGCGGTTTGGAGTAGGGCATACCATGGATGATGGGACTTGAAGTACCCCTACTTGCTTTCCGAGACTGCTGCAACCCTCAACAATGACTGAACAACACCAAACTTGGCACATAGACCTCTCATGACCCACTTTACGCTATGGTGTGACTGTGGATCGAGCATGGATTATGGGACTTGCAGTATCTTCGCTCAATTCCTGAGACCATTGCAACCATCATCCAATTTCCGATAAGGACCAAACTTGGCACACCAGGTCTCCATGATGCACTCTACATCCTGGTGCGGTTTGGAGGATGATGCACCATGGACGATGGGACTTGCAGTTCCTTCACTCACTTAGTGAAACTACTGAGACCCTCATCCAATGACTGATGAAGACCAAACTTGGCACACAGAACCCCCATTACCCACTTTCTCTAATAACCCGGGCAACGCCGGGTCCCCAAGCTAGTCTATCTATACACATAAGAAAAGTTAAAATATGTATGCATGTGGCTGGGGTGTCCACTTACATAGACAAGCTCCTGCCTCTCCAAACAGCTATGATCCCCAACTATGAGAAGCCATCAAATTACATTTGAGATTATAGTGAGTGCCGTGAACATGTAGCCCAAGCCTTGCCAATGTCCTTCCCAAACACCATACTGCCCACCAACCAAGGGATGCTTTCATTCCAAAACAATTTTATCCTAGATTTTATGTGTTTCCTCCACCACAGATATCCCAGTGTTTCTTATTCTCTCCACTAGTGCGGAATTTGCATGATCCCACCCACTGCCTCTCCCTTAACCCTTTCCTACTATTTTAAACTTTGTCTGCACAACAAATAGAGAAGAACTAATCAGCAGCTACACATACTGGAGGAGTTTAGGGGATTGACTCCACATGATGGAAGTTGTAGTTCACCCTGCATCAAGTCAGAGCGCTGTGACCCCCACTGACAATGGACCTTGACCACATTTGACACACAGAACCCCCATGAACTAAGAAAAACACTGGAGAGGTTTTGGGGGAATTCACCTTGATCTATAGCCATTGTAGATACTGGGATTTACAGTTCACCTGCGATGAAAGAGCACTCTGAACCCCACCAACAATGGTCCTGGACATCACTTGGCACACGGAACCCCCATGACCAACAAAAAATGCAGGAGGGTTTTGGGAGAAATTCACATTGATTTATAGGAATTATAGTTCACCTACATCCAGGGAGCACTGTGAATGCAAACAATGATGGATCTGCACCAAATTTGGCACACATACCTGATATGCCCAAATTTAAATACTGGTAGGTTTTGAGGGGAATTGGCCAAGACACTTGTTAGTTGTGGGTACTGGGATTTATAGTTCCCCTGCAATCAATGAGCACTTTGCACCCCACTGATGATGGATCTGGACCTAATTTGGCACATAGAACCCACATGACCAACTGAACATACTGGAGGGATTTCAAGGGACTGACCCACCATGGTGGGAGTTGCAGTTCATCCTGCAAACAGAGAGCACACTGAACCCACCGATGATGCAGCTAGAGCAAACTTGCTCAACATGACAAACTTTTAAGTACTGATGAGTTTCAGGGGGTTAACCTGGCATGATGGGAGTCGTAGTTCACCCACAACCTTATGCAATGCTGGGGACCCAAGCTAGTAATAAATACATATAATAAATAATAGTATAAATATAAATATAAATATAATAATAAATATAATAAACGTATAATCCGATGGGGAGCTGAAGCCAAAACTTAACAATTTTTAATATATTCTCCACTCCATTCGATTGAACAGGACCAGCTTCGGAATGGAGCCACGTACGTTTCCAGAATAGCTGCCTGCTTACCGGGGAACCACAGCACGAGGCCGCGGTCGAGTGTTTCTCCGGAGTCGGGTCGGCGGATCCTGCGCAAAGCAGCAGTCCTGGCAAGTGGTGCTTTCCCCGCCAGTCTCACCAAGGCGGAGTGGCTGTCCGGGCCACTGGTTCGAATCACGGCCAGTCCGCATTTTCCAGCGCCGGACGACAAGGCGAAGATGGTGTCCCTCTCGGCACGTTGGCTTTTCCACCTGCAAAAAGGCAATAAAACATTAAACAGATTGCTTTTGAAACATTGGGGGGGGGGGTCTTTCTTTTCTGGAGGGGTATCTGTCGGGAGGGATCGCATGGTGTCTCTCTTGGCTGAAATGGGTACCCTTTGAGTTCTCTCCCAGCCCTAGGATTATATGATTCTATAACACTGTTTCTCCATGAACACTGTAATGTCTAAGAGATTGGATGGACATCTGTCAGGAGGACTTTAATGGTGTTTTGGCAAAACAGGGTTGGACCGGATGGCTGTTGTGGTCCCTCCCGACTCTAGGATTATATGATTCTAAAATATAAAACAATAATATATATAAATAATACTATAACACAATCTATAAGGCTAGGAGCCCCCGGTGGTGCAGTGGGTTAAACCCCTGTGCCGACAGGACTGAAGACCGACAGGTCGCAGGTTCGAATCCGGGGAGAGGCAGATGAGTTCCCTCTATCAGCTCCAGCTCCTCATGCAGGGACATGAGAGAAGCCTCCCACAAGGATGATAAAAACATCAATTCATCCAGGCGTCCCCTGGGCAACGTCCTTGCAGACGGCCAATTCTCTCACACCAGAAGCGACTTGCAGTTTCTCAAGTCGCTCCTGACACGACAAAAAAAAAATCTATAAGGCTGGATGGCCATTTGTTGGGAGGGATTGGATGCTGCCTCAATGGATGGATGAATGGGGTTCCAGCTCTTAGATCGTATGATTCTATAATATAATAATATATTATTATAATGTATGATAATAATAAAAAATAATAATATAACAACATTATAACAATATATAAAATATGATAATATTATATTATGATATAAATAATAACAAGCAACTATAAGTCTCGATGGTCTTATGTTGGGAGGGATTGGATGGTGTCTCCATGCCTAGACAAATGGGGATGGGGGTCCATTCCGACTCTTGGATTGTATGATTATATAATACAATGTTATTGTAATATATAATAATAAAGCATATAATAATATAAAGATAAAAATATTATAATATAATATACAATAACAATATAAAACAATTGACAAGGCTTTATGGCCATCTGTTGGGAGGGATCGGATGGTGTCTCCATGCCTAAACAAATAAGGTTGGGGGTCCATTCCGACTCTTGGATTGTATGATTCTATAATATAATATAATATAATAATGTATTGTTGAAGTCTTTCATGGCTGTAATCACTGGGTTGTTGTAGGTTTTTTTTGGGATATATGGCCATGTTCTAGAGGCATTCTCTCCTGACGTTTTGCCTAAGTCCATTCCGACTCTTGTATTGTATGATTATATAATATAATATTATTGTAATATATAATAATAAAGCATATAACAATATAATAATATTCTATTGTAATCTATAATAACAATATAATATAGTCTATAAGGCTGTATGGCCATCTGTTGGGACGGATCGGATGGTGTTTCCATGCCTAGATAAATGGGGTTGAGGGTCCCTTCTGACTCTTGGATTGTATGATTCTATAATAGAATATTATTATAATATAGAATAATAATAATAATAATAATAATAATAAAGCATATACTATCATCATATAATTTAATGATAATAACAATATAATACAGTCTATAAGACTGTATGGCCATCTGTTGGGAGGGATCGGATGGTGTCCCTGCCTAAACAAATTGAGTTGTTTAGGCAGGGACACCTGATGGCCTTGGGGGGGGGGTCCCTTTACAACACTATGAATGACAAAGTTGGGAGATTTTAGGAGATGAAGGGGAACCCCAAAAGGTCATCTAGTCCAACCTCCTTGTGCAAAACTTCCAGATTGCAAAGTACAGCATTATTGCAGCAAAATCAGACCCCCAAAGTTCTCTATTTGGGGGCGGGGGATAGACCCAAATGAGGGTTCAACCCACCTGCAAAGCAACCTGGAGGTCTTGGGCCTGGTTACCATCCGCAGACTGCCCTGCAAGGTAGGCCACATGGCTTCAAAGAAGCCCCCCAACCGCCTTCCCTTTGCATGCACGTTTGTTTTGCAAAGCAAAAGGCCGCGCATGCGCCCTCGTGACGCACGGTCCCGGCTTCCCAGTGAGGGCAACTTCCTGATTGGTTGGGAGGGGGGAAAGGGGCGTGGCTTGAGAGAGTCAAGGGCGGGGCGAAGGCCTTTTGCAGCCAAGCTTTAGACTAGGGGGAAAAAAGTTTGCAGGATTTTAAAAGTAATTAAGTTATTTAAAAATGATGCACTGGAAGCTTAGCCATCTCAAGATAAGATTTTTAGTTTTGATGTAATAATAATAATAAATTAGCACTCTGTGTATGCTCAGAGGCCTTGAAAAGCACTCTGAATGCAGAAATACCTTGCAGAAGCACTCTGTGCATGCTCAGGAGCCTTGCAAAGGCTGCAGAAGCACTGAATACTCAGAGGCCTTTGGGAGGAGCACTCTGTGCATGCGCAGAAGCCTTGCAAAAGCACTCTGCAGAAATCCCTTGGAGAAGCACTCTGTATATGCTCAGAGGCCATGGAAGAGCATGCTGTATGCAGAAATACCTTGCAGAAGCACTCTGTGTATGCTCAGAGGCCTTGCAGAAGCACTGACTATTCAGAGGCCTTGCAGAGACACTCTGTGTATTCTCAGAGGCATTGCAAACACACTGAATACTCGGAGGCCCTGTAATAAAACCGCTGTTGAAAAAACCATCACTGGACCCCACTCAATTCGTCAACTATCGGCCTGTTTCCAATCTCCCCTTCTTGGGCAAAGTCCTGGAACGTGTGATGGCCTCACAACTCCAGGCATTCTTGGTAGACACGGATTATCTGGATCCGGCACAGTTGGGCTTTAGGCCGGGACATGGTACCGAGACAGCCTTGGTCGCCTTAGTGGATTATCTGTGCCGGGAGCTCAACGGGGAGTGTGTCCCTGTTGGTGCTGCTGGACCTCTCAGTGGCCTTCGATACCGTCGACCACGGTATCCTTCTGAGACGCCTCGCAGGGATGGGTCTTGGAGGGACTGTTTTACAGTGGCTCCGGTCATTCCTAGAGGGCCGGTCTCAGAAGGTGTTACTGGGAGACACCTGTTCAACCCCACAACCTTTGTCTTGTGGGGTTCCTCAGGGATCAATACTGTCTCCCATGTTGTTTAACATCTACATGAAGCCGCTGGGAGAGATCATCCGGAGTTTCGAAGTGCGATGTCATCTGTACGCGGATGATGTCCAACTCTGTCACTCCTTTCCACCTACTACTAAGGAGGCTGTCGAGGTCCTGAACCGGTGCTTGGCCGCTGTGACGGTCTGGATGAGGGCGAACAAATTGAAACTGAATCCAGACAAGACAGAGGTACTCCTGGTTAGTCACAAAGCCGAACAGGGCATAGGGTTACAGCCTGTGTTGGATGGGGTCGAACTCCCCCTGAAGACGCAGGTTCGCAGCTTAGGTGTGATCCTGGACTCATCGCTGAGCCTGGAACCCCAGGTTTCGGCGGTGACCAGGGGAGCATTCGCACAGTTAAAGCTTGTGCGCCAGCTGCGCCCGTACCTTGGGAAGTCTGACTTGGCCACGGTAGTCCACGCTCTGGTTACATCCCGTTTAGACTACTGCAACACTCTCTACGTGGGGTTGCCTTTGAAGAAGGCTCGGAAGCTCCAACTAGTCCAACGCTCGGCAGCCATGATACTAACAGGAGCGGAGCGCAGGGAGCATACAACTCCTCTGCTGCAGCAGCTCCACTGGCTGCCGATTTGCTACCGGGCTCAATTCAAAGTGCTGGCGTTGGCCTATAAAGCCCTAAATGGTTCTGGCCCAAGTTACCTATCCAAATGTATCTCTGCCTATGAACCCACCAGGACTCTAAGATCTTCTGGGGAAGCCCTGCTCTCGATCCCGCCTGCATCACAAGCATGGCTGGCGGGGACGAGGGACAGGGCCTTCTCTGTGGTGGCCCCTCGGCTGTGGAACGCCCTTCCCATGGACATTAGATCAGCTCCTTCGTTAATGGTGTTTCGAAGAAAACTAAAAACCTGGCTGTTTGAACAGGCATTCGGATAAACAGTGCAATGAATACGATGAATATAGGAACGGAATTATGGATGACGAATTGTATCACGACTCTAGTTATGAGACGTTAATGTGTTGTTATTGATGTGTCATTACTTTGTATACTATGCTGTTAATGGTTTTTAAATTGTATGTTGTTATGATTGACTTTTTGCTCTTGTTGAGTCGCCTAGGGGCTGAGAAACTGCGGTATACAAGCAAAGTAAATAAATAAATAAATAAATAAATAAGAGCACTCTGGGCATGCTCAGAAGCCTTGCAAAAGCACTGTATGTAGAAATGCCTTACAGAACATCCTGTATATGTCCAGAGGCCTTACAAAAGCACTCTGTATACAGAAATGCCTTGCAGAAACACTCTGTGCATGCTCCGAGGCCTTGCAGAAGCACTCTATGCAGAAATGCTTTATAGAAGCACTCTGTCTATGCTCAGAGGCCTTGAAAATGCAGGCATTCATTTGAGAAGCACTCTGAATGCTCAGAGGCCTTGCAGAAACACTGAATATTCAGAGGCTTTGGAAGAGCACTCTGTATATGCTCAGAGGCCTTGCAGAAGCACCAAATGCAGAAATGACTTATAGAAGCACTCTGAATATTAAGACATTGTAGACACACTCTGTGTATGCTCAGAGGCACTGTGAAAGCACTCTATGCAGAAATACCTTGGAGAAGCACTCTGTGCATACTCAGAGGCCTTGCAGAAACACAGAACACTCAAAGGTCTTGGAAGAGTGCTCTGTGCATGCTCGGAGATCCTGCATAAGCACTCTATGCAGAAATACCTTATAGAAGCACTCTGTGTATGCTCAGAGGCCTTACAAAAACACTGAGTGCGCAGAGGCCTTGAAAAAGCACTGAATGTTGACGTTCCTTTGAGAAGTGCTCTGTATACGCTCAAAGGCCTTGGAAGGGCACTATGTATGCAAAAATGCCATGCAGAAGCACTCTGTGAATGCTCAGAGGTCTTGCAGAAACACTGAGTGCCCAGAGGGCTTGAAAAAGCACTCTGAATGCAGAAATTCTATGGAGATACACTCTGTGCATGCTCAGAAGCCTTGCAAACACGTTGTGAATACCCACAGGCCTTGCAGAAGCACTCTGTGCATGCTCAGAGGCTTTGCAAAAATTGAATACTCAAGAGGCCTTGGAAGAGCACTGTGCAAGCGCACAAGCCTTGCAAAAGCAATCTGAATGCAGAAATGCTTTGTGGAAGCACCCTGTATATGCTCAGAGGCCTTGCAGAAGCACTGACTATTCAAATGCCTTGGAGAAGCACTCTGTACATGCTCAGAAGCCTTGCAAAAGCACTCTGTATACCGAAATGCCTTGCAGAAGCACTCTGTGTATGCTCAGAGGCCTTGAAAGAGAATTCTGAATATTAAAACATTGTAGACACACTCTGTGTATGCTCAGAGGCCTTGCAAAAGCACTCTGTATGCAGAAATGTTTTGCAGAAGCACTCTGTATGCTCAGAGGCCTTGAAAGAGAATTCTGAATATTAAGACATTGTAGACACACTCTGTGTATGCTCAGAGGCCTTGAAAGAGAATTCTGAATATCAAGACATTGTAGACACACTCTGTATGCTCAGAGGCCTTGTGGAAAGCACGCTGTATGCAGAAATGTCTTGCAGAAGCACCCTGCATATGCTCAGAGGCCTTGAAGAAACACTGAATACTCGGTCTTGGAAAAGCCCTCTTTATGCAGAAATGCTTTTCAGAAGCACTCTGTGTATGCTCAGAGGTCTTGAAAGAGAATCCGGAATATTAAGACATTTTTGACACACTCTGTATATCCTCAGAGGCCTTGCAAAAGCATTTTGAATATTCAAAGGCATTGTAGAAACAGTCTGTGTATGGCCAAGAGGCTTTGAAAGAGTATTCTGAATCCTCAGAGGCCTTGCAAAAGCACTTTGCATCCTATAAGGCCTAGCAAAAACATTCTGTGCATGCTCAGAGGCCTCTTGAAGCAATCCATGGGGGATATTGCAAAGAGAGAGAGACCCTGGGATGACGTCACTTTCTTCTTGCAGCCATCTGAGGCCACCTCTTGGCAAGCACTGCTTTGAGCTCCATTACAGATTGGCCTCTGGCCCAGTGTTTGCATCCAGCCAGGCTTTTGGATCACTGTAATGCAGTTTAATGCATATAGACCCATATACTGTTTAATGCATCTATAGACCCAAATCCAATCACTTATCTTTTTTTTTTTTGCTACCAGAAAATGGAAAACTCATACAACCCGAAAGCTCCCAGTTTCTTGCCCTCCCGCACAGCCATTCTGTCTGCAAAACATAACATTAAAAAGACATCGTAAGGAATAGAGTCTATATAGCATTTGACATTATATGGATCCACATTATATGGGGCTACAATTGCAGTGAACTGCATTAAATGGATCTACATTATACAACTGTATTGAACTGCGTTATATGGCTCTACCTGCACTGAACTGCATTATACGAGTCTACAGTTGCACTGAACTGCATTAGATGAATCCACAATTACATTGGACTGCATTAGATGGATCCACAATTGCATTGCAGTGCATTATATGGGTCTACAATTGCGTTGAACTTCATGAAGTGGGTCTACAATTGCATTGAACTGCATTAGATGAATCCACAATTACATTAGACTACATTAGATGGATCCACAATTGCATTGAACTGAGTTATGTGGGTCTACATGCATTGAACTGCATCATACAGGTCCACAGTTGTGTTGAACTGCATGAAATGGGTCTACAATTGCATTGAACTGCATTAGATGGATCCACAATTACATTGGACTAAATTAGATGGATCCACAATTGCATTGAACTAAGTTATGTGAGTCTACATGCATGAGAAGGGAGAGAACCTTCTCCTCTGTGGCCCCCCGACTGCATTATGTGGGTCTACAGTTGTGTTGAACTGCATGAAGTGGGTCTACAATTGCATTGAACTGCATTAGATGAATCCACAATTACATTGGACTGCATTA